ATGCTAGCCTATATACGAGGGTGATATCACCGAGCCATTCTGTGGGAGCCTAGGAAAGAAAGATGAGGAGCAAAGAACTTTCACCTACGCAGCAATTTCAAGGGATTTGGGATCATCGGCTTTCCCAGGATCCTGCAAAAAGGTCAAATGATGTCACCCTCACCCAGGTGAAAGGACTGGAATCAGGGATCTGTGTAAGGAGAGTCATTTTTTTCCTTTTTTTTTTTTTTAAGCTTTAAAGCCCAGCTGCATAACAAGTGAAGAATATATATTAAAACAAAATTTCCCATTATGTGTCAGTGCTTTCCAACTATATCAAGCTGCCTCGTGCTGGCAGCAAGCTACAGAAGTCTCCAGTAGCCTGAAATGCTCCCTGCCCCAATCAACAATGCTGACCAGGGAGCATTCGCTTTTTTTTGGGGGGGGGGTCTGCAAGTTAAAAGAGAACTATGGGGTACACTTTTTATCCAATAGTTCTCGTTATATATTGAGAGCACTGCAGTCGGGACGGATCCCGACAATACTGTTAAGATTCACCCAGCTAGCTGATAGGCAGATCCAGCTGTCAATCTAGAGGCAGTCAGCTGTGCCCGCCCCCTCCCTCATTCCTCCACTCAGCGCTGGAGGATCGGAGAGAGGAATCCCTGTGGGGAGGCGTGACTGACAGTCACCACTCTCTGCAGGGAGATGATCGGAAAGTGAGCGAGCGACGGTATGTATTCACTCACTTCCCCATCAATAGAGCTGACGTGTGACAGTTTCATTGTCACACGTCGGCTCTAACTATGATGAGTGGAAATCACTTTAAGCAAATCTATAAATAGAACAAGTTTGCTCACACAAGTATCTGAACATTAATCTTGAATTACTAGGACTCCTTAAGCTTATTTATAACATGTTGATATTTGCCCTCTAATTTAGCTTTACTTTGACTGTGAATTCCTCTACTACTACAGTGTCAGAGATCACTTGACGCTCTGACAATTTCCGCCCTGTATCTGCCTGATCTCAGACGTTCAAAAGCATACACAACAGCTTCAAAGAACAGTTCTGTAGTCACAGCCTTCTTAAAGAACTCCAGGGGGAAAAAAAAAACAATTTTAACCATTGCAGTGAGGCTACCCCCCTGCAGCCTCTCACTCCCAGGCTCTGGTGGTCTAAGGATCCATAAGTTATCACGTCTAATACAGTGCATTTGAAGTGATGATGCCGGGGGACATTCTACCGAGTGAGTGGAGGGGTAGAGAGGCTACAGGGACCGGCCTAGTAGCCAGACGGGACAGAGGTTCAGGTGAATATATATTTTTTTATTTTACACCCTAGACCAAAAAGAGCACTTAAACCTTGCTCCCTTCTGCCCAAAGTTCTTTAACAATGGGGCAAGCAGCACGGACGTGATTACATCAGCACTGCTTTCTGCATACTTACACTGTGACTGAAGGGTGATGTGGTGACGGCCTCTCAGGAGATGGGTCCCTGATACCCAATACTCTCAGTACCTCCTCAGTTTTGTAAAAGAAAAGAAATATTGCAAAGCACAGCTCTGGATTGAATGTATTTTTTTAAACCAGCTGAGACTAAAAAAATTAACCCAAAGTTTGGCTTTAAAAGAGAACTATGGGGTAACCTTTTTATCCCATATTTCTCTTTAGGGTCACGGGAGGACACATACTAACCTCCTCCCGGGCTATTGGTCGCGGTATACTGAGACGCCGCAGCGGATCCCGACGTAGATGACGGGATCCGCCCAGCTGGCTGATTGACAGCTGGCTCTGCCTATCTAGAGGTAGAGCCTGCTTTGCCCGCCCCCTCCCCCATCCGTTCCTCCAGTCAGCGCTAGCGGATTGGAGAGGGGGCAATCCCTGCGGGGAGCCGTGACTGACAGTCACCGCTCTCTGCAGGGAGATAATCGGGAACTGAGCGAGTGGCGGTATGTGTTTAACTCACTTCCCGATCTATAGAGCCGACCTGTGACAGTTTCTTGTCACACGTCAGTTCGAACTATGAGGCTGAGTAAAAATCACTCACCTCATAGTTGATTTTTCAATATTTCAAAAAGCCTGTGCAATCATTATAACTAGGGATGCACCCCTATATCGGCCGAAAATGACACTTTTGGCTAAATGCCGAAAGTGCAATTTTCCTGCCGATACATCGGCGCATCCCTGCTTTCTTTCCTCCCCGCTGGGCGCTGCTCTGTGTCCCAGCGGGGAGGAGAGAAAGTGAGAGCTGGCCGAGCACTGCGGGAGGAGAGCGTTGTGAGTGGCCGGTGTCTCCTCCCACACCGCTCAGCCGCCTATCATAGTGTGGCAGAATGGTGTGGGGGAGGAGACAGCGCTGTCACAGGAGGCTGGGCTCTCTTCTCGCACTGCTCACTCAGCCTCCTGTGGCAGCGTGTGTCAGAGAGGAGAGCAGGCTACAAACACTCAGCGTTCAGTGATCGCTGAGTGTTTGTAGATAATTGAGGATATGGTATTGTTACTATATCCTCAATTATGAATGAATGGGAAGTGATCTACATCACCTCCTGTTCATTCATAATTGTGGTTATAGTAAACATATGCTGTCCTCATGTTATGAATGAACAGGAACACTCAGTATAGAGGATTCCCGTTCAATGATAACAGGGGCTGCAGAAAAAGAGATTATGAACTCTGTGTTCTCACTCTCTTTTTCTATTTTAAAAGTGGAAATATCAGGGGTCTGTTTAGACCCCTATCTCCCCAATGCCCCTAAAAGTAAAGTAAAAAATATTTAATAAAAAATGAATAAAAAAATTTAAAAGTTTATAAAAAATGTTTAGATTTTAAAAAATTAAAATAAAAACATTTTCGGTATCGGTTTCGGCCTGACAATTTTTTCTATTTCGGTGTACCTCTAATTATAATGTATTCTGAAAGCACATTTGAAAATAATAAACTCTGCTTGTCTCATTGTGGCATCTTGCAAAACGTTCTACTGTGTATGGTCACCTAGGGCTTGTTAGCAATGATGCCACCTTTAGCATATTAAAAACACGTGATAGTTGGGACTAGGGATGCACAGATACCAAGTACAGTACTCGGTACGAGTACATGTACCGATACTTTTGAGCTCCAAGACTAGACTAGAGAAAAATTTAAAAAGTTAGGAGGCGGCTGCCATTTGTAAGGAGCACACGGAGCTCCTGGGATTTGTACATCTCCGTTTTAATGTACGATTTTGTTTTTATAAATATAAATAAAAGGATGCACAGATACCAGTTTTGCGAGTACTTGTACTTGCCGAGTACTGATACATTTTTGTTTATCGTCATGTGACAGTTTTTCTAAAACAATACAGAGTAATGATTTCAGGACAGTGGTGGAGCGCCAGAGCCAGGTCCCAGCTCCAACCCTGGTAGTTCTCATGAAAATGCCAAGTATCGGCACTGGTACTCGAAAAGTATCTGTGCATCCCTAGATGGGACAATGCGAGCAATATGTGGCTAATGTTTAAAAGAATGCAAATGTGAACAGAAATCTGCTGTAAGAGTGGCCCTACACAGCCCAATATTATAGGACAACTGTACCTCAATCAGTCTCACCAGCTTAAATACTTACACCTGAACAATGCCTGCATCCAATAAGAACATTCAGGTACTTTGACAGCCAGCAGGGCCTACAAGCAAGATACTGAAGCTTGGCCTAGTGGGAGATTCCTCCATCCACATAGTTTAGCGTAGATGGAGGAATCTGTTGCACTTTTCTCTGCAGATAATCTATAGGTGTATGGCCAGCTTTACATTGTGTCTCTCCTCTACTCCCGACCGAAGAGCTCTACTGTGCACGCACCCGCACTATGATCCTTCACGGGCCGTTCTAGAATTTTTCCGATCTTCAGACGGGACCGAGCGGCGGAGACACAGGTAAGCAATTACCTTTTTGGTAGCTGTTTAATTTTTTTTTATGTTTTTGCATTTTCTACTCCTTGCTGGAAGTAAAAAGTACAAAAAAAAAAAACCGAGACTTTCATTATACTCTTAAGATTTTTTTTTTATGCGGTCAACTGAAAGCAAAGCTCCGACGCTCCAGGCGCATTCATCTCTCTCGCTCTCTGGTAGACGGGAACTCTTCTGGCCGAAGACACCTATTAGCTACGGACGCGGCTAGAGTGAAGTCACGGTGCCCGGTTATTCAGAAGCATTGTCGGACCCTCCACAATACAACATGCAGCCTGATCGAAGGAGAAGAAGAGAAAGGCAGCAGCATTATTCAGTCAAGGGTGTT